TCACCTCTCGGGGCCCGTGGAGTTGGTCTTGCCGCAGGAGCCCGAGTCCGTGTCCACGAAGCCTCACGATCCATCGAGAAAGAATCCAGCGAGCAGCGAGAGAGCGCGGGGGCTTGGCGGAGGCGTCTTTTGGAACGGTCCCAAGGCAGCTCTGGGGACGTTCGTTGGTTTTGCTGAGGCGGCCAACTTGGCGTCTTCGTGGAGAATGAGCAGAACCAAAGGAAAACCAGTGGCGGCCTATGGAAGCACGTCGCATCGAAGGGAATCAAAACAATTTGTGGTTCCTTTTTGCTGAGGCTACCCTGGGATGTCAGTTGGAACTGAAAGGAAAACAACCCTGCGGCGTTTTTGTTCGAGGCTGCTCTGTGTTGGGTCTCACTTTGGGAAACCGAAAGAGAAAACAACGACCTTAACGGGGTTTCCCCCTCTGTTTACGCCACCCCTTGGCGGAGACCCCTCCGTTTGCGGTTCACCCGACAGCCTTCCCTTGGTCCAAGGGGCATTCGGCGGCAATGGCTGGCTTGTCTCCCGCGGGCACCGACTGTTTCCAGCTGCATCTGAAGGCGTCAGAGCCTTCCGTGCGCCAATAAGCCCCAAGCCAGCCATATTGGGGGATTGTTCTTTTTAGGGTTTGGCTCCAAGCCCAGCCAAAACGGAAACCAACCAACCTCTTTTTGGGGGGTCCCCTGTTTGCAGACGCATCTGAGACCAGCAAACCGAAAAATCGATCAGCTTCGGAGCCTGAGTTCACCTTGTGGCTTTCGCAGACTCCGGCGGTTCTGTGCTCATCGCAAGATGCCGCCATCTTCAGTCCTGCACGCGCCACGCGACCCGCGGGCACCCGCGGGCACCCGGTTTTTGAGTTCGGCTCAAAGCGAGTCGGAGCGGGGGGGGGTCGGGCCAACCCCCGAAGAAGCATGTCGCTGTTGTGACCCTCCATCCCAGGAAAAATAAGAAGATGTGCTCCAGTGAGGCTCAGTAGTGAAATCAATTCCCTTCAACACCAAGTGGGAACAAACCATACAACATGAACATCTGTTCAGCAAATAAGTTCCAAGCAAATGGAAGTGGCTACACTCTTCTTGTTGGTGGTTGTTTTCCTCAACCCAAAACCATTTGTCCCCCTAACCCTCGGCTTCACTCGGAAGCCGAAGTTGTCCAACACCTCCTTCGACCGTCGACCGCGTCCTGTGCAGTCCGCCCGCGCGTCGATCAAATTCTCCTCCGCTCCTGCATGGTGCAACTGGGCCCCCCGGACGCAATCAGGTTCTCAAAAGGGTATGGGTCAAAAGCTTCCAGCACCAGGAATTGGACAGCAGGTTTTAGCCCTTGGTCCCATTTACTAGGGTTCCAAAACGGATACCCCATTTTGGACCCACAGCCAAATGGGATATCCGACGCCACGGAAAAAACAAATGTCAGGTCAGCCAGCTGTAGCTTCCTTTCACGGGGCTGGTACCGGAGCGCAGGAACAAAAGTGTTCAGGGCGCATTTGCCAGGCTGCAACCTTGAACTTGGCATCTTCTTGGGGCCCTGCAAATGGCCCGAGCCTTGTATTGACTGGGCTGTCCGAGTGCTGGGATCCCCTGCCAAAAGTTGTAACCTTTGAGTGGGTTCAATGGACACCCAACCACTAAACTCACTGGCTGAGTGGATGGCCCAAAAAAAGTACCCAACCTTTATATTTACCACCAAAACGGTCTTCCCAAAAAGTTTAAAGTGTATGAACTCAGGAAGTGAGTAAAACAGCTGAAAAAACAACCAAAAAGCGAACTGCTAAGGAACCCGACGCCCGGGAACCGCCCCGAGTCCAAAAGCAGCTCTCCATCGGCAGCCTTCCCTCTCCCGTCCTGCTTCGTCACGCCCAGCGTCCTGGCTTCCGAGGACAAGGCAACCTCCCAAAAAATGGTGGTACCGCCACAACGACAGACCCGTTGCACTTGGACATCCTCGCACTCAACTATATATATATATATATATGTATATACACAGACAAAGGTTTATAGACTTACCCCCAACTCAAATATATATATATATATATATACTAATATATAAATATATATATATATACATATTATTTATAGATCCCTGAGACATCCGTTTACCCAAACTCCTGAGTACCCCTTGTGCCTCAGAGGCCCAGCAAAAAGAAGAAGAAAAAAAACGCCCTCTCCTCCTTCCGCATCAGGCTAACACCGGCGTCGTCCTCCATGCCATCAGCAGAAACTGCTACCCTCAGTGCGGCAACAATCGGAGTTCCAGCAGCGCACTCCGCGGCATGAGTTTCGCATTCTGGGCATATATATATATATATATCCAAATAGTAAAAAAAAATATAACATGAATAGTAAAAGGTACATTAGTAATAAATCAGCATATAGCAATATATGTGTAGTAATATACATGTAATAAACTTAGTAAAACATATATATATATATATACATATAAGTATATTACATTGGCCAAAACATATGGGCCTGGATTTTAGCTAGAGGCCCTTTGGTGGACATCAGAATTCAGTGCGGATGCATGTCCAACCTCTTTTCAGGTGCTTCCGACTCTTAAAATGTCGCAGCCATCTGGGGTCACGTTCTGATGCGGAGAAAGAAAAAAGAGAAGACAAAAGAAACCTACTTTTTTAATTGTTTTTATTTATTTGTTTTATTAAAAAAAAAAAAAAAAAAAAAAAAAAAAAAAAACCGGAACCCCAACGGAAGCCACCGGGTGGATCTCATGCAGGCTGGTCGGACCCTCAAAATGGGGCGGCCCTCGAAATGCGAAATGTTCGTCCTTGCCTTTCGCTGAACCAACAGAAGCCACCCCCCCAACCGAGAAAATCACGCCCTGCCATAGGTGTCCTTTTAGGTTGCAAGTAGATGGGTTTCCCTGGTAGATGATTGAACCACCAGGGAAACCAGGGGGAACCCATCTATTCATGTACATACAGGGGACTAGTAGCCCGCTCCAAAGTGACGCAGGGGAACCCGTCGATGTTTTGACCAAAACAATCAAAAGGACGCCTATGGGCCCTGCTCGGCCCCCCAAAAAGGCCGTGAACGTCCGGGGCTCCGCTGCTTGCCCACGTGCTTGGCCGTGGCCAAGGCCACCAAGCCCACGCCCAAGAGTCGCAGCATCGGCACCTGAAGCGACTTGGGGGATGGGGTTTGGGGTTTGGGGTGGGTGGGTTTGGGGGGGGTTTGGGGGCTGGGTGGGTTTGGGGCCTGGGTGGGGTGGGTTTGGGGGGGAGTTGGGCTTAGTGGGTGGCTTGTTGTGGGGGTGGGCTGCTGTTGTGGGGGTGGGTTTCAGAGGTGGGTTTGGGGGGTGGCTTGTTGTCGGGGTGGCGTGTTGTGGAGCTGGGCTTTGGGAGTGGTGGCGATTTGGAGACACACCCTTGCTGGCGTGGCAGCTCGGTGCTGTTTCGAACAGCTTCCCTCGCTTTTTGGGACATCTGACGCGGTTGCCCAAAGAAACGCTTCTTTTTAAAGCCAGGTGCACACTATGAAGCGGCACCTAACCTTTGTTTTCTCTGAACTCATTTGGTTGGACCATTCCCCTTCTCTCTTGCTGTGTCAATCCGACCAACCCCAACGAACACCGAGTCTTTTTGAGCGTCCAGCGTGAGGTCCCGTCTCACGTGCCAAGAGTTTCGAGAAGCCAAATGGACTAGGCTGCACTTTGCGCCGTTCAGACATGAGCCAGGAATGTGGGCGTGGCTCAAAATTAAAGAGCTAGGGTTACGCAGGTTCTAGTGCTTGGTTTCATTTACCAAGGTGCCGTTTTGGTACCGTATTTTTGAGCCACTGCCATATGAGAAGTTGTCTCCGACTGCGTTGCTTAGTCTTGATTTGCTATAGCAAAGGATTCTTCTGACGGAACCGAGAAAAAGGTTCGGTGGAGAACCGAATCTCCGGAACCCTCCCTGTGCCCCAAACCACCCTTTAGCGTGTCGATTTCTGGGCCCTCCCTCAAAACGCTAAATCAGTGGTTGGGGAAACAGCCATGGGGTTCCACAAGTTTTCTTCCATCTCCGGAAGCGATTCTCATGCTCCTTGGCAATCCTCCGTTTGCTTCAGTCCCCTGGAAAGAAAACGAATGCATATGTCCAGTAGTGAAATCGATTCCCTCAACTGGGAAAGATTGCGCAAACAATAGAACATGGCAATTTGTCCAGCACATGGCAGTGACTACACTCTTCTCGCTTTTTTCCCCTGGCCCCAAAACCATGTTTCCCTCAGAGGAATGGAAGCATAGGTGTCCTTTTAGGGCAAATAGATGGCCCTGGTAGATGATTAAACCACCAGGTAAACCAGGGGAACCCATCTATTGTTCTACCAAAACAACCAAAAATAACTCCTATGAATCGAAGCATAGATGGAAGCAATCCATGCTTTGCCCAGAAAATGGCAGCACTCGCCGATCGGACCTTCTCTTCGGACAGGCTCTAAATTTGAAGACCTTAGGCACACCTGACTTCTTCTTTGTTTTAAGGCAAAGGGAAACCAAGAGGCAAAACCGCCATTTTGGGGGTCCCCAAAAAAACCGAACCACCCATTTGTAAACCCAAAAGGTCCTGTTGGGGCCTTTTCGGCCACACCGAAGAAGTGGCAAGTGCCCCGATGTCGCAGTCTCCTCTCCCTAACTCTGCCAAGGTACCGGGCGCGAAAGATGAAGAATGCACTTAGTACACAAACCTAATTTTCTGCGGCTGCAGCCACATCTCTTGAGCCGGGCCGCAGTGTGACAAACATACGCATGTATAAGTACCTTGATGTACATGTACATGTCTATCTAAATCTATATCTATGTGCATGTGTATAGCTACAGCTAGATGTCAATATACATATGTGTACAATCATCCCTTGCGTATACAGATATATATATATATAATATACATATATAGAGAGAGAGAGAGAGAGAGTGAGAGAGACTTGTGTTTCTCCAGAAAGCTTGTGCCACTCCAGCTATGATCCAGGCAAGTGGCGGCGGCAAGTCGAACTTTTTGACACGAATCGCTTCGCGCGGATTGCGAGAATGTGCCGCTTTGGCTGCACCGGCCTGCGGGGTCACATAGTCAAAGCCTACAAGAACCGCAGATTAGTCCCCCCCCCTTTGGTAGGGCACCAATGGTCAAATCTCATAGACTCGCCTTGAAACTGAAACAACGCTCAGTTGTTTTAAAAAAAAATGCCCTGTTAAGGTAGGACCCTTTTGAAGCTCACCCGTAAAAAGCCACTGATCCATGCAAGCAGAGCTTCAAAGAAAATGATGACAACGATTCACGGGAGCCCGCCAGGATTTGCCATATGATTAAAGCTGTCCAACCTGGGAAACCTCTCATCAGGAGCATAGGTGTCCTTTTAGGTTGCAAATAGATGGATATCCCTGGTAGATGATTAAACCACCAGCTGCCACCAGGGGAACCCATCTATTGTTCTTCCAAAACAACCAAAAAGCACAGCTATGATCAGGAGCCTCAGACGCCTAGATGCCAGGATGTCCAAGAACTCAACCACATGCCACCTGCTCGTTTTAAAGCGCGTGGGTCGAAATACATGAACAAGCAAAATTGGACCTAGACACAAGTCGCCAGCTAAATGATGTCCAGAGGGGCCCCAAATAGAATTCACACCCACAACGAGAGTTCGTCCTGCGTGTTTGCCGTGTTTGCCGTGGCCCCAACTCTGGCTATGGTTCAGGTCACCCTTAGTTGGTGGTTTATATTGGTAGTTTGGATCGCCAAATGAGGAAGGTAGGGTTCACAGAACCTCCAAACCGGGCTCCAAACCAACAATTTGGGGAGTCATGGGTCGCACCCTCGTGCGAAATTCTTTGCGCTTGGGTTTGGTCCCCTGCAAAATGGCCTTCAAAAGTCGACGGCCCTTTTCTGTGGAGTTGTTGGGGGTGGGGGTGGTTCAGGGTTCAGTGTGGCTTTGGTTTGATTTAGGTGGGTGGGTTTTGGGGTTGGGTTGGGTTCCCACCGTGAGAAGCTTAGGATGGATCTGTGTTATTTTATGCTTGGCTATGGATGTGTTCAGGGTGGGTTTGGAGTAAATGGGATAAGGCTCCTTTTTGAGGATAGCCTGGGTGTGGCGAAAACGTTGGGATGGTCATCCACCTGGTGAAAAGAATCCTTAACCAAATTTATCATGATGCCCATTCAGGGAGCTAGGACCATAGGCAGGCCAACAAAAACGCATGGGCCATAAGGGCCCAATGGGCCATTGAGAATCTCTATGATTCGATTCCCCCATCTTGCCAACCAGCAAGGGTTTCAACCGGGTGTGGCTCAAAATCAAAGAGCTAGGGCAAACCGCTGGGTTTTTGTCTTTGGTTCCATTCACCAAGGCGCCATTTGGGTGCATTTTTCTGAGCGTTTCAAAGCGGTGCAAACGGAGCAACCATCCACAGAAGCGACCAGTTCTTTCGCGATTTGTTTAGGGGAATGCCCAGAAGGGGCACCCCCAAACAATGTGGAAATGTTGCCAACCCAAAAGAGTAGCCTCAACGTTGGTGTCCTTTTAGGTTGCAAATAGATGGCCATCCCTGGTAGATGATTAAAGCTCCAGGTAAACCAGGAATCGGAACCCATCTATTGTTCGACCAAAACAACCAAAAAGGACACCTCTGAGCCTCAAAAGAGACACTATGCAACCGTTTGGGAGGGCACTCCAAGTCGTGGCCCTGGGACTTCGAATTTGGTCTTCCTATGGTCCTCTCGTTCGTTTTCAGAGAAAACCACAAAAGGAGACAGGCAGGAGACAGCCTGTCTCCGAACGAAGGGATCCAGGTCGCAACTCTGCCATTTTTCACAAGTTGAGAGTACCCACGGATGCGAATCCACCGCCAAACTCAGAAACCCTGGCGTACAGGAATCGATTTACATCTCTACTCTTGGTATGGTAGCAAAAAACTGTGTTTTTTGCAGACCCCAGTAAAAATGAACAGAACCAGAAAACTAAAAATGAAAAGTTTAGGCTAGGTTTGGGGTGGGCTTTGGGTTTTGGGTTGGTCTCACCCTTTTCCCTGGGCACGGCTCCGCCTACTCCTTGGGTGCAGAGCTGTCCCCGACGCGGCTGCATGGCCCCACCTCCGGTGGGCTCCGGTGGCTCGCCGCTTTTTCTTTGGCGGGAACCCCCCCTTGGTGTTGACAAAGGAAACCCAAAAAGGAAAACAACCTTCTTCGGAGACGTGAGTCGTCCATGGCTCGAGAAAGCGCAAAGATGAGGGTGGCAAAAGAACCCCCTTGGTGTATTGAAAACAACTTCAGGGATCAAGGGATCAAGGGATCAGCTCGTTTTTTTTGTTTTTCCCCAACAGCTGAAAGCTTTGGGGTCTCAGCCCAGATAGGCTCCGGGGTGGTTCGGGGCGACCCTGAGCTAAGGTTCCACCAGGGTTCCACCAGGGGTTCCACCAGGGTTCCACCAAGGCTCCACCAGGGTTCCACCAGGGTTCCACCAGCGTTCCACCAGGGTTCCAGGGTTCCACCAGGTTCTGCAAGGGCGGGGTGGTCTGGAATGGTTTGAGACAAGGTTCCACGAGGGTTCCACCAATTTCTTCGAGGGCTGCGGGTTTGAGGAAGGTTTCACGAGGGTTCCGCCAGGGTTCCACCAGGGTTCCAGGCTGCGGGGTGGTCTGGGTGGTTTGAGGCAAGGTTCCACGAGGGTTCCACCAGATTTCCACCAGAATTCTGCCAGGGTTTCACCAGGTTCTGCGAGGGCTGCAGGGTGGTCCGAGGTGGTTTGAGGTAAGGTTCCACGAGGGTTCCACCAGGTTTCCACCAGGGTTCCACCAGCCCGTAGTGCTCCGGACAAGGGTTCCACCAAGGGTTCCACCAATTTCTTCAAGAATAGAGCGTGGTCCGGGGAAGGTTCCACGAGGGTTCCACCAGGGTTTCACACCAGCGGTCCGGGCTGGTTTGAGGTAATGTTCCATGAGAATTCCACCAGAATTCCACCAGGTTTTGCAAGGTAAGGTTCCATTCCAGCACGGTTCTAGCAGGGTCCCACGAGGTTCTGCGAGGGCTGCGGGGTGGTCCGGGGTGGTTTGAGGCAAGGTTGTATGAGGGTTTCAGGGTTCCACAAGCTTCTGCGAGGGCTGTGGGCCCTGAGGTTTCACAGGGTTCCACAAAGCTCTGCAAGGATTCCACACGGGTTCCACAAGGCTCCAGAATGCTCCACCAAGGGTGTGTCGTGCGCCCGTCGTCTGAAAAGCCATCGGATCAAGATCGCTTTGCTCATGGGCGGAACACTAAGCAAAACCGAAATCAATGGTTTTTAGCACACTTTGATGCGGAACTCACGGTGCAGCAGAGTAAATGCTTGGCATTGCTGCTTGGTGGGCTTTGGGTTCCAAGAATTCCACGAGGCTGCGAGTATGAGGTCAGAAGGTTTCCACCAAATTCTGCAAAAGCTATGGGTCAGCCCTGAGGAAGGGTTCCAGCAAAGTTTCACGCTGAGCCCCACGAAAGTTGCGTGAGAACGGTTTGCGAGGTTCACCGGGCCTAGGTCGGGGCCCGATTGAACTGTCGGGGCCCGCCCGATTGCACCGTTTGGGCCCGATCGGCCCCGATTGCGCCATCGCGCCCCGATCGGGGTCCGACTCAGTCGGGCCCCGTCAATTGTACCAAGCTGGCGTCGCCTAGTTTTGCTATAGATACAGTTGCAATCCGCATACTAAGGAAAACCGGCGTTGAGCTATAATATGGGTGGCTGGGGTTGCACCACGGGACGATCGGGGCGCGATTGCACCGTCGGGCCCGATCGGGGCCCGACTCAGTCGGGCCCCGTCAATTGTACCAAGCTGGCATCGCCTAGTTTTGCTATAGATACAGTTGCAATCCGCATGCTAAGGAAAACCGGCGTTGAGCTATAATATGGGTGGCTGGGGTTGCACCACGGGACGGTCGGGGCCCGATTGCATCGTCGGGCCCCGATCGGGCCCCGATTGCACCGTCGGGCCCCGATCGGGCCCCGATTGCACCGTCGATCGGGCCCCGATTGCGCCGTCGGGCCCCGATCGGGCCCCGATTGCGCCGTCGGGCACTCGTAGCTTTGCTTTACAAGGCGGCATCCTCAGCAACACCGGCGGTAAGGATGGTCCCGATTCTGGGAGGTGTGGTGCTGTTGGGGATATCGCCCGAGCTTATTTTTAAGAAAGGGGAATCAAGGCAAAGGATTCTTGAACTTCTTGAGACCAAAAAGGAATCCTAGCTTGCCGGAGACATGCGTCGTCCACGGGCGTGCAAAAGCAAAGAGGGTATGTTGTTTGATCCAAACGATGTATTTTGATCCGAAAGCGGTACAGGAGTCTGAAAATGGTAAAGGAGAAAGGAGTCGGCCTGACGTCAAGAACCAGAAGCTCAGATCTCAGATCCGCATCGGCCGGAAGTGCCAAGGTGTGCATTGATTCGCCTCAGTGAACATCCCTTGTGCAGCTCCATGGGATCTTGGCCGCTTGTGTCGAACGAAATATGGGAAACACCCATTCTTGGCGAGTGTCCCTTTGGTTTCCCCCCCCCCCCCCAAAAAAAGGCGCTCCAAACAGGACGCCCTCACAAATAGACGCGCCCACCTTGCCCCTGGGAAAAAAATATGTCCCATAGTGATAGATTCCTTTTTTTTTACCAACAGGGCAAACTAAAAAACTGTCATTTCCGCAAATAGACACGCCCACTGGTTGCTTGTTTCTCGGGCAAAGTCCTGAAGTCACCGCGCAAAGATGTGACCGTTGAGCATGCTATTTGCGAATCATCATCCCAGTTTCTGAGGTGGTGCAGGATTTCGTCCACCGGTAGGACAAGTAGGGACAGGTCTAGCATTGAGACGGAAGGGCACACGGAAATAGCGGGGGAAAGATGAGAATGTGGGGAGAGTGACATTGACTTGTTTCCTGCGCGGGCGTCGACAAAGAGTGCAGAGCATCTTATAGCAGATTGCAGGTATTGTGCTGTTGCCACGCGTGGAGCGTAGACGCCTTCCGTTGGGCATCAACCAATTCCGATGCTTTTGTGGCGGCAGCGTCAAGATGGGCCGTCGATTTGCCAACCTGCGGATCCTGGAAGACTAGGGCAGCTAGCGATGTGTCCACCATCCATACGTGTCCTTTTTGGTTGTTTTGGTGCAAAAATAGATGGGTTCCCCTGGTTTACCTGGTGGTTTGATCATCTACCAGGGATATCCATCGATTTGCCCTAGAAGGACACCTAAACAACCAAAAAGGACACCTATGGATGTGTCCCTTTGACCTACAAAACCACTTTGATGCTGAAATATTGGGGCAGGGAGAGTGAGGATGGCTCCCAAAACAAGCGAAGGGACACTCACAGACAAAAACTTCCCTGCAGAGATCCCTTCTCAATACTATGGAGCCCTCGTTGGGTTTGAAAGGGAAATCAGGAGACCCATCCATCTGGGTGGTCTAGGGCAACCAAAAGCCCTTTCTGGTTCATTCCCAAAACTGTGGGGTCAGTCCCTACCTATCGCACCAGCAAGTTGAGGCTGTTTTTCCCTTGTCTTTTTGTTTTCCGCTTTTGCCCCTCTTCTATGAGAGCATGGAGCAACCCCCTGGGCTCCCCTTCTTTTGAGCAACACCCTCAGGTTTCAAGCGGTTTCCTCCCGGCACGCGCTCGCTCGACGGCCTTCTCGTCCAGAAAGCACTCCGCAGGGACCGCCGGCTCGTCCCCGTGGTTGGGCTCCTAAACTCGGCCGGCTCGCACGCGAGTGGAACCGGCTGAACGCCTGCAGGGGCCCCAGAGATGGTGATCGCGGCCCCGAAACTGGGGATCTAACTGGGTGCATAGGTGTCCTCTTTAGGGCAAATGGATGGCCCTGGTAGATGATTAAACCACCAGGTAAACCAGGGCCATCTATTTAAACCAACGGGCTGCAAACCACCACCAATCAGGGTTCCCTGAAATAGGAGACCTGAAATGAAAAACATCCGAATTCGGTGGGCACCACTTGTGAGGTGCTACCCCAGTGAAGTTCGGAGGCCACGTGGCTTTTGACGATCATACCCAGGTCCCCCTTGAAACCGTGGCTCGTGTTGGGCCTCTGCTTCTCAACAACTCAGCGCAGTGACGCAGGTGGAAAAAGAGCTGGAACCCTTCTCGTGAGGGCAGAGATTGTTTCTTTTTCGAGGTTCCCACTCGAAAAGAGCAACAACAGACTCATTGTTCGAGGTTCCCGCCCGAGGAAACCACTCCTTTCTTGGAAATTCCCTCCCCGGAAAGAAAAACAACTAGACTCATTGTTCGAGGTTCCCGCCCGAGGAAACCACTCCTTTCTTGGAGATTCCCGCCCCGGAAAGAAAAAAAACCGACTCATTGTTCGAGGCTCCCGCCCGAGGAAACCACTCCTTTCTTGGAGATTCCCTCCCCGGATGAAAAAAAACAAAGACTCATTGTTCGAGGTTCCCGCCCGAGGAAACCACTCCTTTCTTGGACATTCCCTCCCCGAAAAAAAACAAAAAAAAACTCATTGTTCGAGGTTCCCGCCCGAGGAAACCACTCCTTTCTTGGAGATGCCCTCCCCGGAAAGGAAAAAAACAGACTCATTGTTCGAGGTTCCCGCCCGAGGAAACCACTCCTTTCTTGGAGATTCCCTCCCCGGAAAGAAAAAACAACTAGACGCATTGTTCGAGGTTCCCGCCCGAGGAAACCACTCCTTTCTTGGAGATTCCCTCCCCGGAAAGAAAAAAAACAGACTCATTGTTCGAGGTTCCCGCCCGAGAAACCACTCCTTTCTTGGAGATTCCCTCCCCGGAAAGAGAAAAAAAACTAGACTCATTGTTCGAGGTTCCCGCCCGAGGAAACCACTCCTTTCTTGGAGATTCCCGCCCCGGAAAGAACAAAAACAGACTCATTGTTCGAGGTTCCCGCCCGAGGAAACCACTTCTTTCTTGGAGATTCCCTCCCCGGAAAGAAAAAACAAACTCATTGTTCAAGGTTCCCGCCCGAGGAAACCACTCCTTTCTTGGAGATTCCCTCCCCGGAAAGAAAAGAACAGACTCATTGTTCGAGGTTCCCGCCCGAGGAAACCACTCCTTTCTTGGAGATTCCCTCCCCGGAAAGAAAAACAACTAGACTCATTGTTCGAGGTTCCCGCCCGAGGAAACCACTCCTTTCTTGGAGATTCCCTCCCCGGAAAGAAAAAAAACTAGACTCATTGTTCGAGGTTCCCGCCCGAGGAAACCACTCCTTTCTTGGAGATTCCCTCCCCGGAAAGAGAAAAAACTAGACTCATTGTTCGAGGTTCCCGCCCGAGGAAACCACTCCTTTCTTGGAGATTCCCTCCCCGGAAAGAAAAAAAACTAGACTCATTGTTCGAGGTTCCCGCCCGAGGAAACCACTCCTTTCTTGGAGATTCCCTCCCCGGAAAGAGAAAAAACTAGACTCATTGTTCGAGGTTCCCGCCCGAGGAAACCACTCCTTTCTTGGAGATTCCCTCCCCGGAAAGAAAAAAAACTAGACTCATTGTTCGAGGTTCCCGCCCGAGGAAACCACTCCTTGCTTGGAGATTCCCTCCCCGGAAAGAAAAAAAAACTAGACTCATTGTTCGAGGTTCCCGCCCGAGGAAACCACTCCTTTCTTGGAGATTCCCGCCCCGGAAAGCAAAACACTGACTCATTGTTCGAGGTTCCCGCCCGAGGAAACCACTCTTTTCTTGGAGATTCCCGCCCCGGAAAGAAAACAAAACAGACTCACTGTTCGAGGTTCCCGCCCGAGGAAACCGCTCCTTTCTTGGAGATTCCCTCCCCGGAAAGAAAAAACAACTAGACGCATTGTTCGAGGTTCCCGCCCGAGGAAACCACTTCTTTCTTGGAGATTCCCTCCCCGGAAAGAAAAAGCAAACTCATTGTTCAAGGTTCCCGCCCGAGGAAACCACTCCTTTCTTGGAGATTCCCTCCCCGGAAAGAGAAAAAAACTAGACTCATTGTTCGAGGTTCCCGCCCGAGGAAACCACTCCTTTCTTGGAGATTCCCGCCCCGGAAAGAAAAACACTGACTCATTGTTCGAGGTTCCCGCCCGAGGAAACCACTCCTTTCTTGGAGATTCCCGCCCCGGAAAGAAAAAAAACAGACTCATTGTTCGAGGTTCCCGCCCGAGGAAACCACTCCTTTCTTGGAGATTCCCTCCCCGGAAAGAAAAAACAACTAGACGCATTGTTCGAGGTTCCCGCCCGAGGAAACCACTCCTTTCTGGTTCCCGCCCGAGAAACTCACTTCCTTTCTTGGAGATTCCCCCCGAAAAAAAAAAAAAAAAAAAAAAAAAAAAAAAAAAAAAAAAAAAAAAAAAAAAAAAAAAAAAAAAAAAAAAAAAAAAAAAAAAAAAAAAACGACTCATTGTTCGAGGTACCCGCCGGAGGAGAAAAAACAGGAAAAACAAACATTTAGATTCTTTGCTCAAAACAAAAAAAAAAAAACATTTAGCTTATTTGCTCAAAACCAAAAAAAAAAAAAAACGCGTGCAGGAGGTGGACTCCGCACACTCCAAGTCCTCTCTCTCTCTCTCTGAGCCCCTCGCGGAAGGCTTCCAGGAGCAGCGGTAGAACGCATCTCCTCGCGATTCGACTCGCCCAAACCTTGTGGCTGGAGAAGCCGAGGCCCCACCACGAGCCATGGTTGTTCAACCTGGAAAGAATGGTTTCAACCTGGTTTCAACAGAAGGATCCCTGGAAAGAATGGGCAAGGTACCCGTAGATGAATGACCTGGAGTCCCAGGTAACCCTTCCAAAAATGCGGGCATTACCCAAAAAATTTAGGGGTGGTGGGGTCGAGAGCCAGGCAAACAATGGGCCATCGCTAACTTTTGGCCAATCCCAAAAAGTGTTTCGAGCTTTGTAAAAGATAAGGTGTTCAACACGAGCCATGGCTTCGAGGGGGACATGGGTATGGGGATGGTCCGCCCGAAACCACCGTCATCGCCACGGGCATGTTTTCGGGGTGCGGAGAATGAAGTTTTCTTCGAAGCGAAGGGTTAGCCTCCACGTTGCCAGAGAAATGGTCCATTTGAACGGGAAAATGGTCCAAATTCGGACCCCGAAACATCTGGTTCCAAGTTGGTGGACAGGAGGGTACCCCATTGTTGTGGTTTGCGTTCAGGAATTTGGACCCCAAGATGATAAGTCGTGCTTGTGTCCATTTGCCAACCTCCGAAAGAGGGGCAAACCCCCAAAAACATGCCCAAAAGGAAAACAAAGCCATGTTTGGGGCAATCTGTCCTATCATCATTTTAGCAAAGAGCGATGATATAAGATGGTACCAAATGTTGACCCAGAAAAAGCAGTGCTCGATCACGCAACTTGAAGTTGCCTCTTGCTTGGGCGCTGCTGCTCAAGGAAGCCCTTGCACCAAATGGGTGCGTCTTGGCCTCGACATGATACTGCTGATGGACGAAATCCATTTCGCACCACCGTTCAGAAACCCTGGAATGAGTCGATTCCCCCTGTAAATACCGATCATTTCATCATGTCCTCCATCCACAGGTGGCCCAAATTTGAAGAGGGGGTAACTTCCATTTGCTTAAGTCTCCTGGACAAAAATGGAAAATAGCTCCAGCAGTGAAATCGATTCCCCGAAAAACCAGGAGAAAACAGAAAACAGATTCCACCATCTCTTGAGCAGAACAAAAGACCTGGTAGTGCGCCTTTTCACTACCACAGCCCCTGAGAGACGGATCCCAGAATGGAGTTGGAAGGTAGGACTGGTAAAAAAAAACAAAACAAAAAATGGAATGCACCTTTGGTCATAGGTGTCCTTTTAGGTTGCAAATAGATGGATGACCCTGGTGGATGGAACAAACCACCAGGTAAACCAGGGGAACGCATCTATTTGTCTACCAAAACAAGCAAAAAGGACACCAGGTAAATGGAACAAAACCCATCTAAACCAGTGGAACCCATCGATTTTTCTCTTCCAAACTACCCTAAAAAGCACGCCGATGCCAAAATAAAGCACGAAGCCCCTCTGGACCCAAAGTGCGCGCAAATGGATCGAATTCGGACGGCGCTCGGTCCGTCCTTTCGCCGCCTTGTGACTCTCGCAGGCGGCCGCTGTCGCGCTCACGTCCTTGAGGGCTGTTGGAAGCGAAGAAGTCGGCCGACTTGGAGGTTTCTCACGGCCCCTCTCTTTGGCTGTGGGTTCTTGTGGAAAAACGAGTCCCTTGATTTCTCCCGAATTGCGTCATAATCAAAGCCCATGACTTTTCTTAGAGAGACACTGGACCCATTAGTTGACCATGACGAAGTTTGGTAGATTCAAGGGGCACAACCAAGCGTTTTCTGACTTTCACCCCCAGAAACAGATGAGTCTTGGAGGCTTCTAAGCGGTGGCTGAGGATCCATTTGCGAATCTTCCCCGGTGGGGTTCTTTCAGGGAATCGATGTCGCTGCAAATAGATGGAAGTCACTGGAAATAGATGGGGAATAAGAGGAAACAAAAACAAAATGGTCGTCATCCCAGAACCACGCTTCAAGAATCAAGAAGGCGGATATCCGAAACTATTTATGGTTGGGATTGTCCCTTACCAACGTTCATCTACCCGGGCTTTGATTGTGGCCCCTCTCTTTCTACGTCCTCCAGTAGAGAGCTTAGAATAAGTTGGTACCCCCTTTTTGCTCAGTCTATTTTAGTAGGGGAACCCTCCCCACCAAAAAAGGGTGAGAAAGCTTTGGCTGGTTCAGGAAACCGAAAGTAAAGCGTGAGCTTTGAGGCGCCATGTTGAGAAACCCATGAGTGGGGTGATTGATGGATTGGTTCAGCTTCCCAGTTGGATGCTTCTCAAAACCTTTTGGCGGGTTGAAGGGAAACGCATGGCTGAATCGGGACCTTAAGGGACCACTATGTGCCAACATGGTGAACCCAAAACCTTGTAGAGAGTTACCAAGGCAGCGAAAGCACAACTACCTGGGTTTCGATTGGGACTCAATTGAAAGCTTCTCAAAACGGACCTGCGTGAATCGGGACTTTAAGGGGCGCGGTTGGTGTGGATTGTTTCGTTTTGGAGGGGTTCCGGGCTCCTAATTTGTACTCCAAACCAACAGTTGCGGGGGAAGCTGAGCAAAGCAGGGACCAAAACAGCAAACCTTGCAGGCTCGGCAATCCCTCTCAGCTGGATAGTCCAAAAGCAGTTGGATCCCTCGTCACCCACCCAACCCACTTGCGAGGCGTGAAAAATATCTTTGCGGCCCAAAGTTCGGTCTCGGAGCATGCCGTAGCCTGCGTCAAACCGGTGCAGTCGTTCTTCGCGATGTTCTGGCGGCGGCTCTTTGGGGCATGCGTGCCCCATGTAGGTGGCCCCCCATTTTCTACGGCCGTTTCTTGGGGGCTTCGGGTTCCGATCGAGAACCCTGTTGTCCCGGCTGTTGATCACCAAACCCCCAGTTTTGCGCCATGCGTCTTTTTCTCGTGGAAAGAATGGCAACTTGACACTTCTCATCAAGGGCGGTTTCGTCGTGCTCTCTGCTTTTTGTGCCTCGATCAAATCAAGCGGGCTCCCAAAAAATGGATCACTTCTCGGCGGGGACACCTCCCATTCATCTGGGAGGGTGTCAGCTCCTACAGATTCACATGGAACCTCAACAACATCCCCCTACCATGAGGGGGAGGTCCCCCAAGTCCATTTATCTGGTCTTCATCATTGGGGAAAATAGAACCAATGGAATTTCAGGGGTCGAAATCCCCCCTCCAATCAACAAGTTTTAAGAGGGGGATCCAAAACTGCCATTTGTAGAGGGGACTTCTTTTGGGGTACCCCGCTTTTAGCTTCCATGTCAACTTGCAGAGGAGTGCATGTGGGGCCTAACGCTCTTTCAACACTGGCAAAGCTGAGAATTGAGTTCGCGCAGCGGTCCAAAACTGGGTCTGCGCCTTGAGGGATACATTTGGGCCGTTACCGGCCGATTTGGAGGATCCAAATCGCAAAGCAGGTGGGTTTGGACGTATCCAGAACCCGGAAAAAAAATGCCGGGTATTCCTTGGCCTTGGAACCGCGCAGCTCCAAATGAGTCGCAATCAAAACCTGGTACTAAAATGGTCTACCCAGAACCACGCACAGGACTAAGAAGGCGGATATCCGCGGCTATTTATGGTTGGGAGATCGTCCCTTACTAACCTTCATCTACCCGGGTTTTGAGCAAGTGGCCCCTCTCTTTCCAGGTCCTCCAGTAGAGAGCTTAGAATAAGTTGGTACCCCCGTTTTGCTGCAGTCGATTTTAGCAAGTGGCTTTTCTCGTTTGGTTTTGAGCAAGTGGCCCAATGGAGGCCTTCCGAAGCTACGCCCGAGTCGGCTGGATCCGCTCGCCCCGCCTTGTTCAGGCGCACCTTGCCATTGCTCCCATGGAACCGCGCATCGTACTGGGCGGCGTCGGCCTCGGGACCGGGCGCAAGCGACGCGGTAAATTTGCGCCGCGCAGGATCGAGGCATGGGCCCCGATTTTTTTGGGGGGGGCCTTCAAAATGGATGGTGTTCCGTGTGCTTTCCGAATAAAACCACAAAACAAATGCACCCTCGGAAAAAAAGGGGGAACACACCAAACATGATCATGGAAACTCGCTGGCGGAATGAAGTGAGCCCAAATATTGCCCACTATGTTCCCCCAAGAGGACGCAGGAAAAATTAAAGACCGGGTGCCCTCAGGGTCGCGAGAAACGACCCTCCCACAATCATGGAAGCTGACGGGAGGGCTTTGGAAGACGATGTTCCTTTTGAGGAACATTCATGAACACTTCCATGATTGTACATCTGGAAAGCAAACGCTGGCCGCAACCTGTATGCCTGGGGTTCCATATCCTAGTTGAATCACAGTCTATGCTCAAGCACCAGTAAGTGGTCAAAATGAGGCAATGAATGGGCCCAAGTGGTGCCCCATGCCAATCAAACTTGCTGGCTCTCAGTAGGGAATGAGGGAATGACCCCTATGAACCGTCCCCTATGGTTTCCTTTGTTCGGGAATCCCCTTCCGGTTCCTCCCAACACCCTGTCTCGTTCAGTCATTCCCTATCGATCACCAGCAAGAAGAATCTGATCCCGCACGGCGAGCGTACCTAAGCCATTCGCCGCCTAAGCCATACCATGCGCCATTTGAATCCGTACCTCCAGCATGGACAAATCTAGAGCTTCTCACTTTCGATCGAGTGAATCGGTCAAAAAAGTACCTAAAACCTTCTATTTAGCACTAAAATGGTCCAAACCCAAAAAAAAAAAACGGTCCAGAAACTAAGGGAGGAAGGCTTATTTGAGATGCTCCTGTCAATTCCCACGAAAAGGTCCAAAAGAGTGGTAAATGAGTGCGACAATCGGTGGAATCCACAGTCGGAGCATCATGATCATTTGGCCATGGGTCAAAAACCCGTACCCCCAGTGAACGTCCCAATCCACTAAAATAACCAAAATGGGTGGTACACCTGAGCTTCACATCCAATCTGTCGGGACTCACATCCTCTACGTCGCTTTCGGAGGTTGGTTGCATGCAGCACTCGTCCTGCCACTCAAAAGCGGAGGCCACACCAAGACTACGAAGCATGGCACGGATAGCCCTGCCATCATAAGCAATGCGGTTTTCTTCTGATGCAGGCGAGCTTTATATAGTCCGGCACCTTTCAACAATTTGTTCTACCGGGCCCTTCGATTCGTGCAGCAAATTGGAGCTGAGAAAAATGTGGGCCTCTGACAAACTCGAAGGGGATGAGTCATTGATCCGAAGTGGACAACAAATTACCACTCCGAGTTGCTACTTTGCAACGACTGCCGAGGGAAGCTTCTTTGGTGGACCTCAAAGCATGGAGATTTATGTGCACCAACCATCCATTGCTCTTAAGTCACACCCATCTTAAACCCCTCTACGACCTCCAGCCTCCAACCCCAAGGGTTGCAACCAAAGCTGTCCTGAAAAGGGCAAATAGATGGATATCGCTTGTAGATGAGCAAGAACCACCAGGTAAGCCAGGAATCGAAACCCACCTATTTTCTGCCAACCAAAAAGGACACCTGTGGTTGCAACTGTTCTGATAGCCGAGTCGCTGCGAGCCTCACATCACCGCCATTGTCCACTCCAGATTCTTCCTCCGCCTGCGAGCCCCCGGCCGCATAGCGAAGGGTCAAGCAAGACGCGAGGCGCCCAGGAACTACCCTTTTTGATCAGGGTATTTCTTGAGCAGCCTGATGTTTCATGGTAGATACCTTATTTTTTTAGTACAGGGTTGACAGGATACCCAAAGAAGAGCCGGTATTTGGAGCAACGAGTATGTCGACACTGGGAAACCACTGCTGGTCAGAGTTTTAGCTTATCGAAGTTGCCCTTTTCGGTCGGTCGCATGGCAGGAAGTGTTCGGAAGACTACTGTCCTCCTGTAGCTTTGGGCTCGTCTCAAAGGGGAATCCTCCAACGTGGTGTCGGTTTCCCTGGAAACCAGCGTGGAGAGGGTACCGAGGCTCAAAAAAGGCAACACCCCTTCCGTGAGAAAATGCACGTCCATTTGCTTCAAATCTGCCGTGATAGATTTCCAGGGGAAACTAACACCTATTCTTATATCTCGGGAAATGTGGTTTCACAACGTTTCACAGCTTCGGCTCAGCTTCTTCAGCAAATGAGCCACACTCAAAACCTGGTATCAAAATGATCCACCCAAATCCATGTAAAGAAACTAAAATGGACATCCGCAACAATTTCCGGTTCAGTACCTTCATCCACATGCGTGTTCCTTGTGGCTCAAACGAAGTGAAGCGGTTTTAGAACGGCGCCATTTCGACTTCGCCTGCCGCCGCATCATCGACTTCGCAGCACCGGTGGCTGAGATTTCCATCCTCAGCTGAGACGGTTCCGCCCACCTTGTCGGGGCCTCGGAAAAAAAAAAAATAAAAATAAAAAAAAACATTGAGCGGGGGGGGGACATTTTTGGGTTTCTTGGAAGATCAGGGTGGCCTGTGTGGGGATGGCAAAATTTCAGGGTTCCAAGAAAAACACATGGTTCTTGGAACCCCGAAATGGTCCAATCCCAAAGTGCCACAGCTCCTGATCCGCCATTTGGGCGGCCTCCCCAGACATCCGGAGAAGAAAAAAAGCAGAAAAACTCTGGAAGCCTAGCACCTTTTTTTGGAGGGGTAATTCAAGCGAAGCCACAAAAATAGCGGGGCGTGTTTCTTGTTGCCCATGTTCAGGTAACACGGAGTTGGTGGTCCAGATTGGAGGCTTGGACTCTGATTTGGAGGGGTTTTAGGTTCTTGTAGAGGGTAAGTGGGAAATCAACCCCGAACCTCACCGATCCGTGCCAGAAATGCTCAGCTTCACTCCCCTTGGTTTGGAGCCGAATCGATGGTTCGGTGGTGTTCCGGGGGAGGGAACCTCATTTACAGCACAACCCATGCAAACCACGGATTTGGGGATACCTGAAAACAGGGGGTTCATAACTATTTCTTTGGGAAACGGGGTGATTTGCCCATATCTGAAATTAGAGGGAAACTGAAAAACAGCGCGCAGGATTCCTCTCAGAGGCCCAATCTGAGCTGTTTGACAGGGGCATTCCGCGGCTGTCTGGTTTCACGGAAGCATCTGAGCCTGCCTGATCTCTTATGCCCCGGCAAGACCTAAGTACCTTCGCTAGGTCGAAAAGCGGCAAGAAGCAAGTCAGATGCAAACATAGGTGTCCTTTTAGGGCAAATAGATGGCCCTGGTAGATGATTAAACCACCAGGTAAACCAGGGCCATCTATTTTTCTACCAAAACAACCAAAAAGGACACCTATGGATGCAAAGCTGAAGCCTGTTCGAATCAGGAAACTCGGAACTCCTGCCACCCATCACGACTTGAAAACAGAAAATGCATCCGCCGAGCATCGTGTGCTGCACGTCCTGCTCAAATCCTGCGGATTTCGCCGCTTCCCGAGGGAAGGGAAGAGCTGACTGGTCGCCATATTTGACAGGGAGGAACCGATTGGGGGAATGAATTCTGCCAGCTGATCTGCTTCACGGTTTGACCCCTTTGGGTAGACAGACAAAGGTCACTGGAGTTCCCTGTCAAAAGTTGAAAAAAATACTGGTGGTCACCCAACTCTTCGTGAGCGCCAGACTTTCAGTTCTACGTGGCTATAAAGATTCATATGGGTGCGTCTCAAAATCCGGCGCCTTAAAAATCGATGAGTGTTCCGTTTGTGCCCCTTTTCAACCATCCATCCCCAAAAAGGGTACCATCAAAAAGAGCAAAAACACATATAGGCCTTGCGATTGCCTTTATTTTAAAAACCAGGTAGCAGGACCTGCTAAAATGGCCAATGTAGACGTTGGGCGCTGCTCATGATTAAAAAAAAAGCTACTGATTTAAGCAGCCTCTTCTTCACTTCCCGGGCAGCAGGGGCTGGTTGGTAAAACACACGTTGAAAAAACCACCGCGAGGTTCGTGGGTGCCACTAGCCATGAGAACTCCGCAAAGAGCCTTAGCAAAGGGCCGCCTTGGGAGCCGAAATTCAACCTTCGCCCTGCGGCTTTCTCAAAATGGCGAACCCGCTAAAAAGCGTGAGAAAAAACCCGTGATTTTTGTGGACCCCCCATTTTGAGAAACCCCCATTCGCAGGCTGGTGCTTGGAAACCTGCTCGTTGGCTCGGATGGCTTGTTGGTACGTAAATGCTCCTCTGGTTTGCTTTCGTCCCTGAAACATGGGCAGTTGATGCGAGAAAAAAAATCGGAGATGGCCTAAAGCCTTCCCAAGGAAACCAAATCCCTGTCTTTTTGCTTGGAATCGAACCCCGCGAAAGGGCCAGGGTCTGTTTTTTTCATTTGTGGCTTGGTCTGTCAAAAAGAGCAACCCCCGCCCACCCAAGAAAAAAACGGCCCCGCCCAATTGCCTCACCCGGCACCCACCGAACTTCTCAAATGATGAAACTGGGACCCGCTAGTCCAATTCTTCGGAGCTTGAAGAAACTCCGACGAGACGAACGGCCGGATTTCTGTGTGTGTGTTTTGTTTTTTTTTCCGGCAAGGCCATCCACCGAGTAAGCAAGTAATGTTGACACCGGATTAATAAACCCCTATTCATTGATATGGGGGTGTTCCCCTCCAAAAGTTATAAATCCCCAGGGGGCTATGCTGAGAAACATCCATATGAGCGAGGAAGCAGGCCAGTCTTGTTTTGTTGCAAGCAATCCTGGATTTGGTTCCGTGTCAAAATAGGGATTGACCCCCCAAAATGGACTCGAGTTTTCCTCTTGGCTTCCCTTTAAACCAACCCCAAAAAGGGGTTAAAGAACTTCCAACAAAACAAACCCATTTGCCCGCAATTCGACGGATGAGCACCTTGGGCATATGCCAGCAAGCTGAGGGCGGCGACAACGCGCCGCTTGCATGTGGACATGTTCCTCAGCTCGATGCCTTCTCCAAATGAGAAGAGACAAGCACCACATGCGGGCTTGGGCGTGTCTCCAGATGCAAAATTCCCCCAAATGGGCGTGTCTCCAATGGAAGGGAGGGAGAAAGGGAGGGAGAGAGAGAAAGAGACAGAAGGAGAGGGAAAGGGAGAGAGGGAGAGAGGGAGAGAGGGAGAGAGTGAGAGAGTGAGAGATTGAGTGAGTGAGAGAGTAAGAGAGCGAGAGAGGGAGAGAGTGAAAAAGGGAGAGTGAGAGAGTGAGAGAGTGTCAGAGTAAGAGAAGGAGAGGACAGAGTGGGAGAGTGAGAAAGGGAGAGAGTGAGAGAAGGAGAGAGTGAGAGAGTGGGAGAGTGAGAGAGTGAGAGAGTGAGTGAGTGAGAGAGTGAGAGAGTGAGAGAGTGAGAAACTGAGACAGTGAGAGAGTGAGTGAGTGAGAGAGTGAGAGTGAGAGAAGGAGACAGGGAGAGAGGGAAAGAGTGAGAGAGTGGGAGAGTGAGAG